TCAATGTACATACTGACAGAATAACAATGCCTGGGCATCCATATCCATGTCATAGTCTGGACAACTGATATTTTTATCTGTTTGGTTTTTCCTGTATAGATCTCTCCTGCAGACTTGTTGGAATCCATGACTTTCCACTCACAGCCAAGGATATCCTTGGCCCCACCTCCAGGTTGAGAGACCCAGGAGGGTGGCCTCACCTGCAGGAACATGCCTTTTCTCTTCAGAAGTTGGCAACCGCTCCCTGCCACTTCTCCCAAATTAGAGTGGGACTGGTCCTGGGATTTCCTCAGTCTACCAGGACAGGTTGGCCCCAGGAGGCCCTGTGCTCAGGGAAAACTGCTTAAGACTCATAGACATGATGTGACTTGTTCATGTCATGAATGCCAGAATACACTCACGGCAGGCCTTGAACCCAGGTCTTCCTAATTCTGAAAGTGGATCACTGTTCACTATACCACACTGCTCCTTTGCCCTGGGCATCTTGGTGGTTCAGTTGGGTCCAGAGTCAGGAAGTCCTGAGTTCAAATTCAACCTTAGACACTTATTAGCTATGTAATACTGGGCAAGTTACTTAGCCCCTATATGTCTGTTTCCTCATCTGTAAAATGGGAATAGTAATAACACCTACCTGCAAAGGTTGTTGTGAGGATCAAATGAGATCATATTTGAAAGAGCTTAGCAAAATGCCTGGCCACATAGCAGGTACGTAATAAATGTCTGCTTCCTTCCTTCCTTCCTTCCTTCCTTCCTTCCTTCCTTCCTTCCTTCCTTCCTTCCTTCCTTCCTTCCTTCCTTCCTTCCTTCTTCCTTCTTTCATTCCTTCCTCCCTGCCTCCATTCTTTCCTTCTTCCCTCCCTTCTCTTCTCCCTCCTTCCCTTCTCCAAAATTCTCTCCATAGTCAGTCAATAAAGATTTATGAAACACCTTCTATGTTTCAAGCACTGTGCTAAGTCTTGGGGTTATCAAGAAAGACTGACAGTTCCTGTCTCACAATCTAATGGGAGTGACAACACATAAGCCTCTATGGACAAACAAGCTGTATATGGGATAAAGAGGAAGTGATCAAGAAAAGTAAGGCACCCCAGTTAAGAAGAACTGGGAAGGCAGAGTTTTTGTTTGTGGCCAAAGAAGCCAGCAGTCAGAGATGGGGAGGCAGGAGGGACAGCCAGAGCCAATGAATGGAGGGTCTTTTCTGAAGAAAAGCCAGGAGGCCAGTGTCCTTGGCCTGAAGAGTACGAGGGGATGGGAATGGAAGAGGGGAGAAGTTCTGGGCGAGGGGATGGGAAGTGGGGTGAGGTTCTGGAGGAGCCTTTCTGAAACAGAGGAGGAAGGAGTTCAGATCCCTGTAGGATGCCACTAGCCACCCCAAGGGCACCGGGGTGAGTGGGCGAAGCTGGACACTCTTGGTTTTTTCAGCAGCTTCTGTCCCTGGGTGAAGGGAGCAACACTAGGTGGAGGGAGATGACCTGCTCAGGTTACACCTGGCAAGGGCTTCATCATGAAAGGTAATGGGGGAGTGCGGGAGGTTCAGCCCTGAGTATGCAGCTCAGAGCCCCAAATCCAAGAAGCCCCGACGTTCCCAGGCTACTGTGATGAGAGACCCTCCCCAACCCCACTCTGAGGCAAAGCATCTTTCCAAACATACAAAATAGGGCTCCCCCCGTCTTGTTTTGCTTTGCTTTTCCTGAATCCAGAATGTTCAAATGTGGTTTAAAATTTTTGTTGTTACTGTTGTTCATTTTCAGTTGTGTCTGACACTTCGTGACCCCATCTAGGGTTTTCTTGGCAGAGACACTGGAGCGGTCTGCCTTACCTTCTCCAGCTCATTTTGCAGATGAGAAAACTGAGGCAAACGGGGTTAGGTGACTTGCCCAGAGTCACACAGCTCGTAAGTGTCTGAGGTTGGATTTGAACTCAGGTCTTCCTGACTCTGGATCCAGAGCTCTATCTCCTGTTCCACCTGGCAGCCCTTTCAAAAACTCTAATGATCTCGAAATAAATTTCAAAGATTTGAGAGGTGGTGTGGCATAGTGGGTGGAGAACTGGCTTCAGATTTCTGAAGAACTGGGTTCAAGTTCACCTTTTGACACATACCGACTCTGTGACCCTGGACAAGTCATTGTCACACTCTAAAGCTCTCTAAGAATATGAGTGGTAGACAAGTAACATTTGGCCTTAGTGTAAGGCGCTCCTGCTCTGGGAGTTCCATATATCATTGAAATCACAACTTCAGCACCCCCCCACCCCCACCACCACTAAAGCTCTTCAGGAGACACAGTCCCAGAGGACAGTCCTAGCCCAGGAGGGCTCACCAGGAGATGAGAGCCCGAGCTAGGGCTCTGATCCTGACCAGCTGAGGGCCTCGGGCCATGCCACTGACCTCCAGACTGTCTCCTCAGCCGCAGAGTCCCTAGAGCGGAGCTGAAGCCCTCTGCAAGACAGAATCGCAGATGTGCGCTGTCCAAGTGAGGGAGGGGCTGCTCCAGGGGCTGGGCAGCGGACTTGCTCTCACTGCAGGGCCTCCGGGGACAGCTGGATAGCCACTGGGCAGCTTCACTGTCTGGGGGATTCTTGCTCAGCACAGGCTGGCCTCGAGGTCTCAGAGGGCCTTCCATGTCTGAGAGTCCGTGTCCCTGCACCCCTTCCTCCCTTTCAGTATGGGCAGCCTCCCTTTAGCGCTGGGCCCAGGAGGATGGCGAGCTTTGGCCTGGGCTAGCACCTTTGCACCCTGCTTCTTCTTAGACAGTGTCTGGACTCAGGCATGGGAGGTTCCCTCAACACATCCACCCTGGCATCTGCCATCTACCTTCAGCCTGGCCATCCCACACAAAAATACAGCCAGCATAAGCAGCTCGGATGTCCTGTGAAGGATGGACATTCACTCTCAGAGCAGCAAGAAGCAGGGAGGAGGGGGCAACTAGGTGGCTTAGTGGATAGAGCTCTGGCCCTGGAGTCAGGAGGACCTGAGTTCAAATCTGGCTCAGACACTTGACATTTACTAGCTGTGTGACCTTGGGTAAGTCACTTAACTTTGATTGCCTCACCAAAAAAAAAAAAGCAAATATATAGGAAGTGAAAAAATGTTTAGGGGCAGCTAACAGGATAGAGCATTGGCTCTGAAGTCAGGAGGACCTGAGTTCAAATGTGACCTCACTAGGTGTGACCCTGGGCAAGTCACTTAACCCCAATTGCTTAAAAAAAAAAAGAAGAAGCAGGGAGGTGGTGGGGAGGGAATCCAGCTCAGAGGAGAAAGGGAGCAAAGAAGGGCAGCTTCTTTATTGTGCAGCAGCAAAGCAAAATGGAAAGGCTCCTTGACCACAAGGAACACCTGTAGTCCTGATGATCAGAATCCCTGCAAAAGAACCGAGGCATAGGACCATGCAGGTGCCCGTGTCCAGTGGCTGGAAGCTCCAGGTGGGAGACCGCTGTGCGTCCAGCGAAGGGGAGAAACCTGACAATTTGGGGTGCAATTTGAAACAAGTTTTTTTGTCAGTCTCACAATTTTTAAGACAAACAATAGCAGAGAGAGATAGATATTGAGGAAGGGAAATCAAGAAAATCAGTTCAAATGGAGGCTCTAATTTTTGGAAATAAGCCCCTTTCAGAAAGAAGCTGGCCTGCGAGTGAGAGAGTGCAAGAGGAAGCCGGCTTTGGGAGGCGCGGTGGTCGAACGCCTGGATGAGAGTTCTCCATAGGGAAGCCATTAGGCCGGTGAGCACTGGAGCTGATCTCTTACGTGGTGATGGGAGAATGTGATGAGTTTTGTCAGCCTGACTCCTGCCCTCCTCGCAGTAAGGGACAGGATGGGACCGCTGCCTCCCAGCGATGCCCAAGAAAACCGTGATTCACACTCTTTATCCTGGCACTGACCATGCAAACTACCCTTTCTCCATCCTAGCCTTACCTCTGACCATTCAATCCTTGGGCCAGCAATGACTTTAATCCGTCCACCCAGACCCCAGCACCCCCAGAGGCCTCGATGGCCTGATACTCTTGGAAATATGCTTCTTTCCCCCTCCAGATTCCAGGCTCTGCTCACTCACTGAAGGGCAAGGAGGTGAAGAGCCAGCAGCTTCAGCCAGGCCGTCAGTCAACAAGAGTGCAATAAGGGCCCACAGGGTGCCAGCGCCATGCTAGGACATTGTCTTCTAGGTCATTCAGGGCACAAACAGCAACCACTGGCAAACAAACTAGTCCTCGTGGCTTCTTGTGAGGAATTCTTGCTTCATTCTTCCATTCTTCACACTAGGCAACCTTGAGTTTTATGTCCAAAGCACCAATAGACCCATTATGAGAGAGAGAGACAGAGAGAGAGAGACAGAGAGACAGAGAGAGAGAGACAGAGACAGAGAGAAAGAGAGGAGACAGAGACAGACACACAGAGAGACACACATAGATATTTGGATATGATTAAAAAATCATTTCAGCTAAACTTAATTTAAGCTCTGTGAAGGTCATGTTACAGAAATACCTCATTTCTCTGGCATAATTAGGGATAGCTTTAGCAAAATTTCTAGATAATTGGAAATACATTTCTATGAGCTAATTTCTCAAACAACCAAAGTTCTTTCCTTAAAGTGGCAAAACTATTATGATTTTGAACTTTATGTGTGTATTTGTGTGTATTTTTTTCTTAGAACACACTGCACACTGTCCATTGCCCTTAAATGGGGCTTGTCCAATGCATGAATGGCAGACAGAGTCAGGAGACCTCCATTCTTGTTCCAGTTCTAAGCTGTGTGACCTTGAGCACACTTTCCGACCTCTCTGGGCATGTTTCTTCATCTGTGACAGGAAGCTGCCCTAAGCACTTGAAGGACCCCGGGGAGGCCAGCTCTGGGACTTTCCAGAGGCCAAGTACCAGCCTGTGAGAGTCTATTGAGCTGTTACCAGAAGATTGTGAAGACCTTTGGTCATTACCGTTGGGCCTCAACCATTCGTGACTACAGCATCGGCTAGTGTCTATTCATCCAGAAAATAGGGTGCGGGGACAAAGCCCTAGATCTCCATGATGTAGAGCTGGGAGGGCACTGTGCAGGCCAGCTAGGCCAACAAGCTTGGGTTTACAGTTGAGAACAGGGACGTGCAGTGCTTTGTGGAAGGCCACACGCACAGTAAGTAAGAGCTAATGTTTGATCCCATATCATCTTATTCCTTTGCTCATGATGTCCACTGCCCTGTTCTGACAGGGGCAGTGCATGTGTTTAATGAAATATTGGGGCTCTGTGAGGAATCGTGGGAATGACAAGGAGAAGTGTGGCAAAGCTCACGTGAACTGATGGAAAGTGAGGAAAACAATATATACAATGACTGTAATAACGTGTGGAAAGAGAGACAACAAAACAATAATAATGAAGGCACTGGAGTTTTAATGATCCTTCTGGAGAGGTATGTAAAAGTATTTCCTCCTTTCTTGGCAGGAGTTGGGGACTTTGGGTGGGAAACAGCGTTTAAAGCTAGGTCTCAGTTCAAATAATGAATCCTCTGAAGGGGTCACATTATCCAAGTTAGCATTATAGATTTCCCCTAGACTGGAACCAATTGCCATCTTTTTGTAATTATTATTTTGAATAGTATGGATTTGAATACATGTGACCACTTTGGGGGTTTCATTAATCACACTAATTGGAGCCTCGCTATGATGCTAAACATTTTTAAATGCTAGTTATTTGGTTGAACTCCTTTTTCTCTTTAAAAATTAGAAAAATAAGAGGGACCATTCATATACATATACATATATATATATATATATATATATATATATATATATATATATACTATGAAAACAAAAGACATTAATAAAATTGCATTTAAAAACATTGTCTGGGGCTCAAACATGTGAAGGGCCTTAGTCAGCGTTCTTAAGCTAGGCTTCTGGTCTCCTCGTCCAACATTTTAGCCATCATGCCAGATTCCCAGCATCTAAGTATTTAATATTTTTCAAATTGCTGAAGCAGGCTTGTTCTTTTTTTTAACCAGAGTTCTTTTAAATGATGTCTTCCTAAGGGCCACCTGAGCATGTGGTCACAGATTTTTATTGTTTTCCAGAGTGGGGAGTGAACGAGAGGGTGATGGAAGCACTGCCCACTGCAGACCCCTGTGCATGGAAGATGAAGGTTTGAAAATCCCACAGGGATCACACGTGCCTCTTGTTCAAGCTCTTCCTCTATATCTGGGGGACAGAAAGAATCCCTGCATCATCTCTGGTTAATCATCACAAATCATGGAGAGGTAGGCTATGGGATCACAGTGCTGGAAAAACCTTAGAGATTGTCTAGTTGAACCCTCTGATTTAACAGATGAAGAAACTGAGGCACAGAGAAATTCAGTGATGTCCAAGTTTAGACAGAGAAGGTGGCCGAGGACGGATTCAAAGCTAGGTCCTGTGAGCCACAGAAGTATGTGTTCAGATTTTTGATTGTCCTGTGATTCCAAATTTAGATCTCTTTCCTTTGCCCCTGTAAGCTCAGGGTAAGTGATGGAGCCAGTCACTCGGTTTGTAGAGATCTTCATAGTGCTGACTCAGGCCTCTTGATTCACCATCTAGCTCCCTTTCCCCATGGCTCCATGGTGCCTCTTAGGAAAAAGCATTTGTAGAGAAGGACTGACAAGGTTTCCTTAACCGGTCAAGGAAGTGAGAAATGAATCACACAAAAGCCTTGGTTGTCAGCCTAACCAGCCTGCCAGGAGCCAAGCTGTTGGTCCTGATGTTTCCTGAGTGAGGGAGGCATTTCCACCCTCTGGGGAGTTTTCATCTGGCACTCAGTGAGAGTGACGACTGACAGAGAGGTCTTGCACAAGCTATACCAATAGCTCCCAGAAAACCTGGTTTATTTTGATTAGTAGCTCTGAGATTGTTGTCTTTGAAAATGTCAATGACATGGTGGTGTTTTTTTTTTTTTTTTGCATTTTCATCTTGGAAATCCTCCAGAGATACTGAGCAATTGACATGAGTGCCCTAGTGTTTGGCTGCCTAAATAGCCCCAGGCTGCAGTCATGGGGCAGTGTCTGGTGAGGCAGCCGGTCGGTCGGTATCCACCTCAGGAGCATCTCTATGTGAGGGGAGCCTTGGTGCCACAGTGGCATCCCCACTAATAGAGTCTTTAGAATCCACCTTAGAGGACCCAGGATTCCTGGGCTGGCTTATGATACAGGTCATACTCCCTAGCCATGGGTCATAGCCTCCAGGCTCTGTCTAGGGCCCCTGCTCTTTGCTCCCTATACATTCTCTTTCTGTGACCTCATCAAACCCCATGGATCTCAGCAGGATCTCTGTGCAGATGACTCAGACCTACACAGCCAGCCCTAGGTTCCTGACCTTTAGGTCAGTCTCTCTACCTGCCCCTTGGACATCACCAACATCAAGCTGCTCATCATGTCCAAAACAGAATGTGTCTCTTCTCTTCTAGATCTGGTAAGTGGACTTGTGGACCCAGTGATCCTATCTATCTTATCTACTTTATTTTGCAAAGTATTTGGCTTATGCCATCCACAAAGATCAGTCAGACAGATGTGGGGCAAAGCACAGGGAAGGAGCCTTAGAAAGGGAAGAGCAGTATAATTTTCCTCCCTGAAGACCTGCCCTGATGCCTACCCCATGGAATTGGTCCTGGGGTATGAAAATTCTGCAAGGAGAGGTCCAACTCTGCCAGGCTGGAGGGGTCAGTCATGCACTAAGGCTGATGTCCAAAGGTCCATCTTGCTAAGATTGGAGAGATATCCCTAGAACAGAGAGACAGACAGAACACTTGTTAAGATGTTTCAGAAACTGCTAAGCACCTGGGGTAAAAATGAAAGCAAACCAAAAAACTCCAGCCTTGACCTCAAGGAGCTTAGGTTCTACTGGGGCCAGACAACTCATCAAGGCATGCTGGCAAGCGGGAGGGAGGGAAAGAGAGGCATAGTGTGGTGGCCTGAGTGGGGGAGCCTCAGTCCTGGTTTCTTGGACATAATGATTTCTACCTGCTTGGGTATGCAAATGTCTCCTTTGATAGACTATAAACTCCTTAAGCTCAGGGACTGCTGTAGTTTTGTCTTTGTATCTCCAGAATCTAGCACCAAGGCTTGTACCCAGTAGGTGCTTAATACATGCTGTTGATCAAGTGATGGCTTTTATAGATGTGGCAATTCATGAATCCAGCTGAATCCAGGGATGGATCAGTCACTCCTTCTGCTCTAACATCCATTCATTTTAAGAACCTGCCAAAGACAGGAATGAACGAATGAATGCCTCTGATGTGAATCGATGTCTGCTGGAAGAATGTGTGTGTGCAGCTGGGAAGCCTGGGCCCAGGGGGCCATTGATGGCCTCCTTCCTTTACATTTGGAAAAAGTCAGAGCCCCTGAGGCAAAGCAGAGCCCTTTTAATTGTGTATGTCCAGAAGTTTTACTGCTCTCATTGGCCTTTAAAAGCTGAGATTAAGCTGACTTTGTGTTCCTATGCATTTCATCCACCAAGTCCAGGTCTTTTCTGACTCCTCTGTGAGCATTTTGAGGTCAAAATCACTCACTTTCCACCCCTTTAACTGGAGCCAGTCATTTATAAAACATCAAATACAGGCCCAGAGCCGACCCAGAATTCTTTCCAGTGAAGCAAAGATATCAGCTGAAGACATGCTGCTGTGCCTAAGGCAAACTGTCCTCAGCCTCTGCCAGGTGTCTGCCTAAGCCTGGCCCTTCCCTTCATAGCCTCCCTTGTGAGGCACAAACATTGGTTTGTAGCCTCTGCACTCAAATTCCAGAGCTAGACTCTTGAATTCTGGCAGGTGCCTGGACTGCTGAGCTCTGGCCACCCCAGGAAATGGGCAGCTTCTCAGACAGGGTGTCTGGAAGTCAAACACAAGGACAGGGCTGCCTGGGATTCTGGGGATCCACTGATAATGGACCAAGAAGTCCAGGCAGAGTTGGATCCTGACCAGTTTCTGGACTCATAAAGGCTGCTCATTACAAGACCCTGCTCATTGGTGGCTACCATTAATTATCTGACATAGGAGATTTGTGATGTTAGACAGAAAAGGAATTCCATTATGTCATTATGATGATTAATGATGGATAAGTAGACACAACACAGAAGAATTTATGGACCCAATTTGTAGCTGTGTTGCTGAAGCCTTGCTCATGAGCTAGGAGTTGTCCAACAAAGACAAACTCAAAGCCAGCATTAGAATTTCTCCTCTGAATTAGCAAAGCGCATCACGATGTGACCTGCAAGATGGAATGGTGGAGCCTTTCTCCAATCCTCATGACCCTTTGAACTTCTCTGAAATAGTAATTACGCTCAAGGGACAAAACTATGTCAATTGTCTCCATGGTCCAGGACACCAAGAACCCAAATAAGGTAAAAATCTACTGAACTCAAGGCAGAGAAGAATACTTAAATCCTAACCTTCACAATTGGCATCCCACTTCCCACCTCCCACCTTCTGGAAGGACTGCATTAGCTCACCCATAGGCTTGCGACAGAATCCAGCCCCCTCACTCCCCACACTCCTAGGACCTTGGAAAACTGAGAGGCAGAAGCTTTCTCTGTCTTGGATTATGACTTCCTGGGCTGTAATAGTACTCAGTTAGAAAACTGAGGAGCAGCTAACTGGAGCGAGACTCCAGAGTGTGCATGGCTCTGTCAGGCCCGCTTAAAGCCAAAAGCCCTGTATCCAGCTGGGACTTAGTTCTATCCCCTTAGGAATCACTTGGGGAAGAGCCTGAGGCTCTTTGTAAGATACAAATTGTCCACCTTGGGAAGATGCTGAGATGATGTTGAGGTCCAGCCCTCGTGGAAACCACCATCATATGGGAAAGAGGGGCAGCTGGGAGTGCAATGCATGGGGTGCTGGGCCTGGAGTCAGGAAGACCTGAATTCAAATTCAGCTTCTGACCCGTACCAGCCATGTGATCTTAATCTGTTTGCCTCAGTTTCCTCAACTGTAAAATGGGGATCATAAATGACTATGTCTCCTCTATCTTAAAAAAATACCCATTTGGTCCTTCTATCCCCAAATACCTATCATTTCTCCTAAGGCATTCTACGATAGGCACTTCCACTTTCCTCTCACTCTGATAATCTGGCACAAAAGTGCTCTCTCTGAAGGTAGCAGCCAAACCCAGTGGCTTTTTCTCAGGCTCATTCTTCCCAAAAGCAGGGGGTTGAAGCTCCATCGCCAGTCTATGCCTTGGACAGCAGATGTATCTCTGCGGTGATGGCACATTCAGCCCAATGTGCCAGCTCCTGAGGAAGAGCACAGCACCAGGAATTGCCTCCCAGGCACCGTCAGAGCTGGGCCTCCTGGCTCGGCTCCCTGTCAGACACTGACTTGGTTTTGAGAAGGAGGCTTTGTTGATCTTTTGTCTAATGCTGTGACTTGGCTTACCCTCCCCTTCTGAGGTTTGTGCTCATGGGGAACCCCAAATAGCTGAAACTGAGGTGGTTATTTCCCATGTTACCAATGCTTTGGGCACATATTCCTAGTATCCTCCCCTTCTGAGTCACATGGAAGCACTCTGAGCTCACCTCTTTCTGAAGGAGAATTCCAGGTAGGGGCCTCCCCCAGGAGCAGACACCTGGGGCTGGTCCCTGCTGTCCCTGAGCTACCCCAAGGGCTACTGATCTCTGTGACCTTGGGCTCTTCATCTGAAAATCTGAGCTTTGGATCTCCAAGGTCCTCCTGGCAAAATGAGAACTCAGACTCAATTAGTTTAGCCTTTTATTATTTAGCAGAAAAAGGCTTTGCCTGTGAGCCCAGTGACCTAGATATGGAGTGCACATTTGTTCTTGTGAAAGTAATAAACGGATTATTAGGATCATTATAAGTCATTTCAAAAATGATTTAAAAAATCAAAACCTCCTAAGTCTGATAATGGCCACCAAAGAGGAGAATTGTAGAGAAGGTGCTGTTGCCATAGTGGGAACTCCTCTCTGGGGCCACTTCTGGGCTGGGGGGGGCACCCCTGGTCTAGACTCCCAATATGAACCTAACTTTCTGCTGGACAGCAGTGGGAGCTGGGCCTGTTAAAGACAGCACCTTCTGCTAAGTACAGTGGCTTCCAGTGGTGGAGTGGGGAGGCCATCTTCTGCCCTTCACAGAGTTTGCAGCAGCTAAAGAATGTAAGAGTGGGACCAAGATAAGAGGAGGTGGGCAACCTGCCCCACCCCAGGTGGGGAGAGAGGGGGCTGACAGCATGGATGACAATTCCTGGGGAGATCCGAATACAGTCACTTTCCCCCATCAAACCTGGCATACACCACCTGAAAGTGGGTTATTTTTGGTGCTGTTTTAAAGGGTGTGTCTATGTGTTTGCTTGTGTGTGCACATGAGCAGAACAAATCTCAGAACAAACCTGTTCTGTGAAGTTTGGATTCAGTCAAAGGGCTGCACTTGAGGCCCTAGAGGGCCACACGTGCCGTCAAAGTTGCAGGTTCCCCACCCCTCCAGTTCAGGTAATTGAGCAAATAAATAAAATCATTCCCTTCCTCATCTGAAGTTGTGTGAGATGCTACCCCTTGACATCTTGACCAGGTGAGAACACACCTCAATCCATCAGTGGGATAAGCATTTATTAAGTACCCACAAGCTCTGGAGAAACAAGAAAGGCCAAAGGCAGGTCCCTGCCATGAGAAATAATGAGCAGAGATGCACTGGAATCGAGAGGGATTTGAGAATAAATGAATGAATTAATGGAGGGATCAGTCCTAGGCTTTAGACCGAAGTGGAATGTTCCTCGGCCAACTAGAGGAGGGAGAGCACACGAAATGTGTTCTTATTGGTCAAGGACACCTGTTCACACCATAGAAGTTGTGGGTCAAACATGGAGCTGACTGAGCAGTTCAAGTACCTGGCAGCAGAGAGGGTGGAAAACGTGCCAGCCAAAGCCACGAGAAGAAATTGTTGGGGAGGAGGATAGGGAGGCTGCCATAGCCTCTTCTCAACTCCTCCTTGATTGGAGGAGGACCTTGTGAGCTTTGGAGGGTCTGCAGGATTTGGGGCTCCCCTTTGCCCAATGACATCCCCCACTAGTTGTAAACTCCTTGAAAGCCAGGGCTGTCTTTTGCCTCTTTTTGCATCCTCAGCACTTAGCACAGTAGGCACTAACTCAATATTTATTAATTGGTTGACATTCTAGCAGTGTTCCCAGAACAACAGTGTCTTCATTGATGTTATATGGAGAGATTCAAGGCTCTACAAAGAACCCAGCAGGGAAAACAAATGAACAAACAAAGTGACATCATATCTAAGGGGAACATCCTGGAGAGTCCAAATGAAGGACTTTCAGGAGCTGAGTTACCCTTTGCCACAGATGCTCTCTAAGACTGAGCCCAATTGTTCCTGGTTTCTGGATGAACTGGTGGGAGAAGGTGTCAGAAACTTTTTGTTTTCCTCCTAGACTCTCAGACTAATTAATATCACTGATAATCATGAGGGGCAGCACATTGTTGGGGGTTAATGAGGTACAGTATTAGAAAGACACTTACAACCCTTTTGGATGCTCTGGAGCTCTGAGAAGTAGTAGCCATCCTCTGGAGACCAAAATCATTGGTAGGAGTGGGAAGAACCCCCAAAATCTACACTACAGTGCTCACATATGATGTGTGGCCCTGGTAAAGTCATTTAACCTCTCTGTGTCTCAGTTTCTTTCATCTGTAAAATGGGGATAATAATAGCACCTGCCTCCCAGGGATGTTGTGAGAGTCAAATAAGTTACCATATGTAAAGCACTTTGCAAACTTTAAAGCATTAAATGCTATCATCATCTTCATCATCACCATCATCATCATCACCACCACCACCACCACCATCATCATCATCATTATCTTCATCATCATCGCATGAGCTACCTATTGACTACATCTTGACTCCTTGGTGAACCAGCTCAACTTTACACCATCTGCTCTTGAATCTCTTGTGCCCTTATCACATCCCTGACTATGCCCAGCCAAGCCTCAGCCTTGGATCACTCCCACCATTCAGCACCTTCATTCCTACGCATGTGCTGCTAAACAAAGATGGAGAAAATCACAACCATTCTGACTGGGTCCACTATGAATTTGTCACACAGCTTCCCCTGGGCCCTTGCTGCTGCCTTGAAGGTCTACTGTTCCTCACTTATCTGCTCACTTCTACCCTCCACAGCTGCTCTTCAAACCTCCTCTTTCCTCCTCAAACCTCCCATGGCTCCTCCTTGCCCCCTCTCAGCTGAGAACTAGCTCATATTTTGCAAAAAAAATTGACTCCATTTTCCAGGGGCTGCCTCTTCTCCCCTCTTCCTCATCTCCTATTACTCAGATATTTTATGTCCTTCTCTCCTTCTTCACTCTTGTCTCATACCATGAGGTGACCCTTCTCCTGACCAAGGCCCTCTATTTGTTCAAGTAATTCCCTTCCATCCTCTCTCCTTTGGCAGATTGGCCCCTCCGTCATTCTCAAGATCTTCTTGTTTACTGACTCCTTTGCTATTGCTTACAAACATGCCCATGTTACCCTCATCCCCCCCCCAAAAAAAAACCCTTTCACTTGATCCTTCCATCCCTGCTAACTATTGTCCTATTCTCTTCTGCCCTTTGTAGCTAAACTCCTTGAAGACGCTTCCTTGGGTAGGGGCCTCCACTTTCTCGCCTCTCAGTTTCTTGTTAACTTCTTACAATCTGGCTTCCAACATTTCCACTGAAACTACTCTTTCCAAAGCTGCTAATGATCCTCAAGTTGCCAAATCCAGTGATCTTTTCTCAATCCTACTTCTCCTTGACCTCTCTATAGCCTTTGACGTTGTTGGTCACTTCCCTTCTTGATCCTCTCTTCTCTCTAGGTTTTCAGGATCCCTGTCTCCGGGTTCTCCTCCTCCCTCTCTGACCGCTCCTTCTCAGTCTCCTTTGCTGGATCCTCCTCCAGATCAGACCTTCAAACAACGAGTGTCCTCTGGGGTTCTGTCCTGGTCCTCTTCTCTTCTCTTCTCTTCTCTTCTCTTCTCTTCTCTTCTCTTCTCTTCTCTTCTCTTCTCTTCTCTTCTCTTCTCTTCTCTTCTCTTCTCTTCTCTTCTCTTCTCTTCTCTTCTCTTCTCTTCTCTTCTCTTCTCTTCTCTTCTCTTCTCTCTCTTCTCTTCTCTTCTCTCTCCTCCTCCCTCCCCTCCCCTCCCTCCCTCCTCCCCTCCCCTCCCCTCCCCTCCCTCCCCTCCCCTCCCCTCCCCTCCCCTCCCCTTCCCCTCCCTCCCTTCCCTTCCCTTCCCTTCCTTCCCTTCCCTTCCCTTCCCTTCCCTTCCCTTCCCTTCCCTTCCCTTCCCTTCCCTTCTCTTCTTCTCTTCTCTTCTCTTCTCTTCTCTTCTCTTCTCTTCTCTTCTCTTCTCTTCTCTTCTCTTCTCTTTCTTCTCTTCTCTTCTCTTCTCTTCTCTTCTCTTCTCTTCTCTTCTCTTCTCTTCTCTTCTCTTCTCTTCTCTTCTCTTCTCTTCTCTTCTCTTCTCCCTCTAGACTACTTCACTTGATGAGCTTATCAACTCCTGTGTATTTAATGACCATCTCTATGCTGATAATTCTCAAATCTGCTTTTGCTGCCCCAATCTTTCTCCTGACCTCCAATCTTGCATTTCCAACTGCCTTTCAGACATCTTGAACCGGATGCCCAGTAGACATCTTAAGTGCAATATGATCAAGACAGATCTCATTATCTTTCTCCCCAAGCACCCCCCTTCCCCATTACTGTTGAGGACAAGAGCCTCCTCCCAGGCTCCCAACCTAGGAGTCATGCTCATGCTGGGCTCCTCATTCTCTTTTACTCCCATATCCAATGTGGTGCCAAAGCCTGTTTTCACCTCTGTAGCATCTCTTGGATCAGCCCCTTTCTCTCTCTTGACCCTACCCCCACCCTGGTGAAGGCCCTTATTGTCTCATGCCTGGACTACTGCAATAGCTTCTGGGGGTGTCTGCCTACCTCCAGTCTCCCCACTCCAGTCCATCCTCCATTCAACCACCAAAGTATTTTACCTAAAGCTTAGGTCTGGTCATCTCCCACCCCACCCCCAAACTCCAGTGACTCCTTATGGCCTCCAGGAGCAAATGCTCTGTCATTCAAAGTTCTTTGAGATCCAGCCCCTGCCTACCTTTGCCGTCTTCTCACATCCTCCTCCCCACCAGATACTTCTCAATCCAGGGCCGCTGGCCTCCTTCCTGTTTGACAAACAAGACCATCTCTGGGCTTCAGCATTTTCTCTGGCCTTCCTCCATGACTGGAATGCTCTCTCTCCTCTGCTGTGACTCCTGACCTCCCTGGCTTCCTTCAAGTCCCAACTAAAATGCCACCTTCTACAGGAAGCCCTCCCTAACCCTCTTAATTTCAGCATGCCTTCTGTCTTTTATTTCCTTTTTATCCTGTCTATAGCTTGCTTCCTTTATATTTGTTTACATGTTGTCTTCCCCATTAGATTGTAGGCTCCTTAAGGGCAGGCCTGTCTTTTGTCTCTTTACACCCCCAGTGCTTAGCACAGTGCCTAGCTCATAGCACATAAATGTTTATTGATTGATTACTTGATACATATGTTTACACACACACACACACACACACACACACACACACACACACAGTGAAACATATCTTCCTTTCAAAGAACATCCTCCTTGGACTCTTCTCTGGGCTAGGCTGGGGTACAGTCAGACCAAGGAGAGGACTAAACCAGGGTTCTCTGACCAGGGTTGGCATAGGCAGAGATCTCAGAGGAATGAGCATATGGGGAGCATAGAAATCAATCAGCAAATATTTGTTAAGTGCCTACTATGTGCCAGGTATGTGCTAAGCTCTGGGGATATGAAGACATGAATCAGTCCTGGCCTCCAGGAGCTTCCATTCTAATGAGATAAGTATGAAACACAGCTGATTCCTTGGGCTTCACTGAGAACAGCCAGTTAGCTGCCCTCGCAGGGACAGAGAATGGGCTTGTCTGACTGGTCTTTCTGGTGGGAAGCAGAAAGGCCACAATTCAAGCCTCCCTCAACTGAGCTAACTCTCCCTCTTCATGCACTGTGGGACCTGGGAAGGGGAGCGTGGAAGTGCCACTGACCAGTGTGGTGGGACGTGGGCTGGGTTGGGGTACTCACTCAGCTGGGGATGAGTTGATGCTGATGTTGCTTCCACAGGGACCTGGTCTACAACCGGTGAAAAGTTGGAAAAGCTGCCTCAGTATCCCCTAGTGGCCTGAATGTACTTCTACTCAGACTCAGTTGAGTAGACTGAGCTGCTGGCAGTTGAAACTTAGGCCCCAGGTGGTGTCTGGACAAATGACTGAAGCCTTGTTGTTGCCTTTACATAGGGAGGCAGGCTGGTGCAGTGGGAAACATGTAGGCTTTCTGGTTGCAGCATCTGAGTTCAAGTTTTGGCTCTGCATATTCTCTGTGTGACCTCGAGCAAAGCAGCCTGCCTCTCTGGGCCTGTTTCCCTTCCTGTCAAGCAAGGGGATTCAATCTGATGATGTGGACTTAAAAAACCAGGATGATATTACCTCCCTGGGCCTGGGCCTCAGCATATAGGAAGCAAAATGGTTGGACTAGAGGATCCTAGCAGGCCCTCTGACTCCCATGATTCTGAAGTTTTTCTTTCTTTTTGGAAAACTTGGAACTAAAAATAAAGTTGTTTAAAGAATTTCTTTCTTACACTAAAAATACTATTTATTTCAGAGTGTCTTTTGTCCCCTTGAATGGATCAGACACCAAGAAACTCAGTTTAATTGAGTCCAAATGCAGGAAGTGATGGGTCTGTGTCATGGTGCTGGGCTTGAGATGCAAAGTGAAAGCAAAGTCCATCATCCAATGCTCCTTGGAAGCAGCCCCTGAAACTGGAGTTGATCCCAGTAAGAACTGGGGGCTGTTTGAAGCACACACTGTCTCGCTGGGTTTCCATCAGTGCTGAGGCCTTGGGCCAGGCTACATGGTGCTACTTCCTAATGAAATTATTCTACAACAGGCCTTGGGGGAAACCAGGCTCTGCTGCTGAGAAGTGACTCTCTCTTTGAAACAGCAGAAACACAGAAAACCTTTATTAAAAAAAACAACCACGTAACAGAGAAAAAGAGTGCTTTGGATTCACCTCTAGACCAGAGTGTGAAGGAACCATCTTACAAAGCTGTGCAGCAGGTCGGAGGTGGAATGCCTTTAGGATGGTCAGAAGAATGAGTGGCTGTTGCTGGCCCATGGACCACACCAAGAACCTGGCTGCCAATCACCCTGGACAGCTCCCTGCTCCTCCTTCCTTAGAGGCAGCTGATGTCCCTGGGAGGAGAGAGAGAAAGTGACAGAGAGAGAGAGAGCCCTTTTCTTTGAAGGGAGAGTGCTTGGGACGAGGCCATTAAAATGTACTAGGACCACAAAGGTTTACTGTCTTGATTTTGTCCTTTTTCAGCAGCTCAGGGTGATCTTTGTCTTCTCCAGGTCTTGCACTGCCTGTGGGAAGGATTCTGCAGGATAAAGCTCCTCGGAGTCAAGGTCACCAGCGTTTCCTCTCCCCTGTGGCACCATCAATAGCCACCTGAGTAGCAACCAGAATGATTCAGCTGGTTTGTGTTTCATCTGCAGGCAGAGGATGGCCGTTTCCTCCCATGAGGACAGGTGCAGACAGTAATTGGAGCTCATTCTTCCCCTAGGAGTTCACCCAGCAACGACTTTAATCTATGGAAAGATGCTGTAGTTGTGCTGGAAACAACACAGGGTTTGATTCAAGGTACCTGGGTTCTGCTTGTCCTGGGCTCATTACCAAGCATTTGGGTGACCTTGGACCAGTCATTTAACCTTTTCCAGCCTCAGCTTCCTCATCTATGATGTGGGTGGTGCAGTACCCACCTCTAGACCCTCACAGGGTTGAGGGGGAGGGATATAGGTGAGATACCTTACGGGGAAGCCCTTTGTAACTTAGGAATAACAATAATGATAATGATAATAATATCACTGGAAGGTCGGCCACCAGGTGATGGAACACAGAAGTGCTTTGTTTTTGAAGTATATTTCATACAAAAATATGCTGACAGCTGGCATAAAAAGCAAAAACTTGTTCCGTAATTTATTTTCAAGATGGAAATAACCCCAAAGCATTGGGCAGTGAGGTGGCATAGTGGAGACAGTGGACAGAGCTGGGCCTGGAGTCAGGAGGACTGTATTCCAATCCAGCCTCAGGCACCTACTAGCTGTGTCACCCTGGACAAGTCACTTAACTCTGTTTGCCTCAGTTTCCTCATCTGTAAAATGAGCTGAAGAAGGAAATGTCAAACCACTCCAGTATCTCTGCCAAGAAAACCCTAAATGGGGCCACGAAGAGTCAGACACTGGCTGAAACAACTCAATAACAAATTGGACAATATGACTGTTTCATGGTTATCTCTGCCTGTTAGGGGCAAGTCGTGCTTGGCCGTGTTCATTGAAAGCTTTTAACAATGTTGTATGAATCAAATTGAATATGATTTCACTTATTATATATTTTGTTAGTTTCACCAAAACTAGAAATCATGGGACAGAAGTTCAAGATTGTTCTCAGCTCTCTGTTCCTTCACTGAGATGCTCACAGGGATTCAGTGTGGTCCTACCTGTGGGAGATTTGACTGGTGCATAGCAGGGTTCAGAAAACTTGAGGTGTCTAGTTAGTAAGTACAGTGTCTCTCCAAATCCCTGCCCCTCATTTCCCTTTTTCCCACCTCCAAAGTCCCTCGTGATGGGAGAGAACTTTACCCATGGATCCCTAAAATCCACTGAAGAAGAATAAAAATGGAGGAAAGACAGAAATGAGACTTGGGGGACATGGGCAATGAGAAAGTAAGGCAAGAGAATTGAAAAGGAGGCAAATGTGGGAAAGAAAAGTAAGCGAGAGGGAAAGGTGGTGAGAGAGGGAGACAAGGGAGAGAGGAAGTAGGACAAGGAGGAGCCAGGGTCAGGTTCTGGCTGCCCACTGTCGGGTTCTGGCCACCCAGGGTTGGATTCTGGCTGTCCAGGGTCAGGTTCTGGCCACCCAGAGTTGGGTTCTGGCTGTCCAGGGTCGGGTTCTGGCTGTCTAGAATCAGGTTCTGGCCAGCCCAGAGTCAGGTTCTAGCTGCATATTGTTGAGTTCTGGCCAACCTAGAGTCAAGTTCTGGCCACCCAGGGTTGGGTTCTGGCTGTCCAGGGTCAGGTTCTGGCCACCCAGAGTTGGGTTCTGGCTGTCCAGGGTCGTGTTCTGGCTGTCTAGAATCAGGTTCTGGCCAGCCCAGAGTCAGGTTCTAGCTGCATATTGTTGAGTTCTGGCCAACCTAGAGTCAAGTTCTGGCCACCCAGGGTTGAGTTCTGGCTGTCCAGGGTTGGGCTCCATACAGCTTCCTTGGACCAAGCAGCCAATGCCAGGAGCAGCCCCCTCTGCTCAGGCTACAGAGCGGAGCTTTGGATGCTGAGTGCAGGCGGGACCCCCACTGACCCCATCCAATGTCGTTTTTGCTCATCACTTGACATTTCCTGGAATAGTAACAATTAACCACCCCCAGTGGGGAGACTTTGAACAGCTCACAAAGATTCTCTGGTTCCCACTTGGAGGCAATACCTGCTACAGGGAGATGTCTGAAATTGGCTGCTCACTAAGTGCTTAGACCTGGCACCTGCTGCCTTGCTTCAGCCTGGGGATGAAGGAACAAAGATGTTCTGTGGGCTTGTGCATACACAGGTGTTCAGGCACGTGTGCACATGCTAGTGTGTGTGTAAACACAAATGCACACACATGCATGCACACACACACATGACAGGGCAGGCTCACTTTCCCAGGCACCAGTCTGTGGGAGGTAACGTGGCACAGGGCAACAGAACTCTACCATTCCCCACATTCTGCAAGAGACATTTCCTGCTTCTCCCCCATCCCTGGCTCACTGCTTGTTGTATGGACATCTGAGATGACCTTCCTTCCACTCTTTATCTTGATTACGCATTAGAATGGGGGCTCCTGGAGATTCAGAGAGCAGATGTGGAGAGGGCATGGGGCCCTTTGTTGCTTTTTGCTTTTCTTTGTATCCCCAGCACTTACTTGGCACACCTGGTGGGTGCTTAATACATCCTTGCTGGGAATCATGATAATGATGTGCATTGCTGAATCTCTGGAAATGAGCTTGGGTTCAGAGTACTTCTGGGCTGCCTGAGAGAATCTGTACAATGCACAAATAATAACTGACCCTTTGAGGTTGACAATGTAGACAGTGCTGGTGTTCACACCCCCATTTTATAGATGAGGAAACTGAGTTTTGGAGAAAGAAACCATCTTTTCCAGGGTCACAAGACTGATCCATTTTGGTGGTTTGAATACGAGATGAACCCCCAAATGGGGGAGTCATCAGGATTCTCTCACATTTCTGAGTTTATCTGGAGGAGGTAAAGGAAAGCGGTGTAGAATATGTGCATAGACACAGACACATTTATACATGGGCCTGGGTGGTGCAGGGGACAGAGCCTGGGGTCAAAAAGACCTGAGTTCAACTCTGGCCTCTGACGTGTCCTAGCCATGGGACCTTGGGCAAATCGACTTTCGCTGTTTCCCAACTGTCAAATGGAGATAATCATAGCACCCCCTGGAGGGGCTGTTTTGAGGATCCAATGAGGTAATCTTGTAAGGTGCTTAGCACAGCGCCTAGCACACAGCAGGCACCTAATAAATGCTTGTTCCCTTGCCCAATCCCAAGGATCTTTTCACCTGAGGAAGTATCCAGAAGATGATGCCCAAGCACCTGCTGGGACATGCAGGGTGTTTATTTATAGGGTCCTCAACTTTCACTTCAGCCAGAGGGTGCACAACATTTGCCAATGGCCCCATCAGGAGGCACATTGGCTTTTACAGAGAGAAATGGCCAGGGAATGAGTGCTCTGACCCTGAAATGAAGCTGACTTGCCAAGGCCTCAACCCCTGTCATGGGCACAGACACACACTAGTGCTTGGAGGGGCCTTAGAGGACAGGGAGTCAAACCCCTCCCTTCCCCCCCATTTTACAGGGCTGGAAACTGTTCCCCGCTGAGGCAGAGCTGCATCTCCAAGGGCCCACAGGCAGGCAGTGGCACAGCCAAAATTCAAACTCAGGCCTTCTGACGTCAAATGAGCCCTCTCCCCCCTCCCCCCATCCCCTGGCTTAGTCAGCCTCAGACACCCTTCAATAAACCGATCTCTTTTTGCAGACAATATGATCATCCATTTGGAAAATCCCAAAGACTCGACTGTAAATTG